TGAGAGAGAGAGAGAGAGAGAACACAAGCAGGGAGAGGAGCAGAAGGAGAGGGAGAGTGAATAGGAGAAAATCTCCACCGACTCAATACTGGGTGCCGAGCCCAACGTGGGGCTCGATCCCACCATCCCAAGATCACTACCCAAGCCCAAACGGAGAGTCACAGCTCAACCAACTGAGACACCCAGGCACTCCAAAGCTTGTTTTTTTTTTAAAAATATGAACGATCTCGGGGCACCTGGGGGGCTCCGTCGGTGAAGCGTCTGCCTTCAGCTCAGGACATGGTCCCGGGGTTCTGGGATCAAGTCCCACATTGGGCTCCCTGCTCAGCAGGGAGCGTGCTTCTCCCTCTCCCTGTGCCCCTGTCCCCCGCTCATGTGCTCTCTCTCCCTCTCTTTCTTTCTCTCAACTAGATAAAATCTTTCATTAAAAAAAAAAAAGAGGGGTGCCTGGGTGGCTCAGTGGGTTAAAGCCTCTGCCTTCGGCTCAGGTCATGATCCTTGGGGTCCTGGGATCAAACCCCGCATCGGGCTCTCTGCTCAGTGGGGAGTCGGCTTCCTCCTCTCTCTCTCTCTCTCTCTCTGCCTACTTGTCTGTCAAATAAATAAATAAAATCTTCAAAAAAAAAGGATCTCGGGAATACCTTCTGACCTTTCCAGATCAATTCAGGACCACGTGGTCCTGCATCTCTCCGGTCTGATACCTGCTCCCCTTTCTCCCGTGCTCTACTTCCTGGTTCACCTGGGAGCTTTTAAAACTCGCAGTTCTGGAGGCTGGTCTCAAACCAGCCGAATGGGAAGGATCCCCCAGGTGACTCACTCAGCAGCCAGGCTTGGCTCAGAGAAAACAGCATGGAGTGCTGCCCAGGGCCGGGAGGGAATACAGACGGAGAAATGCTGACCGGCCTGTCCCTTTGGGAGTGGAGGTTTGCAGGGTGAGGAGTGGCTGTCGTCGGAGGAAGCTGAGGAAAGGAGCCCAAGCAGCTCTTGCACCGAGTGCGGCTCTAAGGGGAGGGAGATAAGGGCCGGTAACCGGCAGAAGTGGGATGAAGATGGGTTTAAAAAAAGAGAAGTGGGGGCTGCAAGCGTGTTTGTAAGTTTCTGAGAGGGAAGCAGGCGGCAGGCAGAAAATGAAGCTACAGGAGAATAAAGAGATGAGCTGACGGGCTCTCAGCGGCCTCGGTGGCCTCCTCTTGCTGAGTGCGGGAGGCGCTCAGATAGAGAAGGAGCCCCTGCCTGAGTCTGTAAAGTCGAGGGCAAGGACCAGACCTTCCTCCGTCTTTCTCTTCCAGTAGCCGACACCGTGCCTGACACCAAGCAGTCATTACATGGGGAAAATGTAGATGCAAACGTAGAAACCGAAGACAGTACAAACCAGCAGGGCTCCAAGTACGCTCTGACCCTTGCGTGGGGCCTTCCAGCTCAGAACTGTTTTTATCATGATTCTAAAGTGTTGTCTTTTTCACTTTTGTTCAGTTCTATGTGCTGGGTAGAATTTTCCAGAGGCTTCCAAACAGACTGGATGCAGAAGCCTATAGGAGAACCCAGCTGCCCTCCATTAAGCCGGGTAAAGAGACTCGCAAAAATGCAAAATAACCGTTCTTCTCGCTTTTTGAATAGATTAGTTTTCATTAAAACGTTATTTTGTGTTGTTGTATAATGGGTTTATTGCATTATTTTTAAATGCATTGTTACATATTGTTAAAATGTCTGTTTTAACCCCTAATTTGGTAACTACTAATAGATATGATCTATATAAATAAAAACTCCTTGGGGTCCTCAGCCTTTAAGTAATCTCTATATCCTACGTGAGACTTGAACTCATGACCCTGATATCAAGACCTGAGCTGAGATCAAGAGTGGGATACTTAACCCACTGAGCCACCCAGGGGCCCCATGGGGGAGTCCCCAATTTTTAAAGGGTCCTGAGACCCAAAATTTGAGGATTGCTGGTGTAAGAGGAGCTCAGAACTAGCAGAGAGAGCTGGTGAACAGCCAACACACGGGTGACAATCTTCCCAGCCATGCAGCACGTACTTCTGGAAGGATTCCCTGGTTGGCTCCTTGGACAGGACGTAAGACCCACACTCACCGTCTGCTGTCCAGGACAGTTCTTTTATTTTTTTTTTAAGCTTTTATTTATTTATTTATTCGACAGAGAGAGAGAGAAAGAGAGATCGATCATAAGCAGGCAGAGAGGCAGGCAGAGAGAGGGGGAAGCAGGCTCCCTGCTGAGCAGAGAGCCCCATGTGGGGCTCAGTCCCAGAACCCAAGATCATGACCTGAGCCAAAGGCAGAGGATTAACCCACTGAGCCACCCAGGCGCCCCCAGGACAGTTCTTGGTAAGGAGGTTTGCTCTTTCCAAGGAGGATGGGCCAGTCTCACTTGTAGGCCCTGGTTTTTCTGAGTGGCCCAGGAAGTGCGTGGCTGGGGGCCTCAGTGTATGGAGGGGGAAGGGGGCAGTTTGAAGAGGGTGTGGGAGTGTTGCTGCAGGGGCGTGAGGGGTCCACTTTCTCCCCCTGTCTTCCTCCCCCTGCTCACCCATGCAATGGGAAGTGGCTTCTTTCTTAGAGAAGCTTCTGGAAGGATAAAAAGACTCTCTAATCCTGCTCCCTGAGAGGCCTGCCCTATAGGGTCTGTCTTCCTTCCCTCTCTCTCTCTCTTTCCTCCCTTCCTTCCCTTTCCTCCTTCCTTCCTCTCTCTCTCTCTTTCTTTCATGTTAGTCACCACACGTACATCATTGGTTTTTGATGTTGTGTTCCAAGATTCACTGTTTGCGTGTGACACCCAGTGCTCCCTGCAATCTGTGCCCTCCCTAATCCCCACCACCGGGCTCACCCACCTCCCTGCCCCCCTCAGAGAGAACACCTGGCAGGTGAAGTGATTGTTTCCCAGACCCAGACAGTGCCATTGCTCTGAGGGGTTAAGAACCACCATCCACGAACCCATTCATAAAACAAAGACCGCCAAGGGGACTGTCATCTGAGGCTGTCGCCTCAGCCCACGTTCTTTTCTGACGAGAGAGCTCTCCGTCCATTAAAACTGCATGAGCTCCTCTGCGACTAGACTTTAATGCATCCCTTTTCCCGTAAACCTAAACTAGCCCTTTCAAAATGAAAAGTTCACAAAGACTCATCACACTGGGTGGAGTCAGGAGCTCCGAGAAGGACAAACCTTAATTAGACTTGATTTTTTAAATTTTCCCTCGTGGTTTTTAATTATTAGAGCAAATGTCTCTGATGTTGAACTCCACGTCAGGGAGCCCCAATGCCAAGGCCCTTAATAAATTCCATGCGCTTTTCACAAGGTTATGTTCTTCTGAGAACTGTCTGCACGTCTTTCCGAACCCCTCAAGACTGGACACTAAGGAGTATAAATAATCATTCTTTAAAAATTATACTTCCTCTACAACCTTGAATTTGAAATGTGAATATATAAATATAATAGGTCTGGAATTACTATGCAGATTTATGGGGATATCAATTTAGGTTATATCACAGGCCCAACTAGGCCTTTCATTTTGAGGCTGGGGATTTGTTAAAGCTGGGATAGAGTTTGGGGAAAACGTGATTCTCACAGACGCAACTGAAGCTCTCTGACATGGGGGTCCCTTGCAGAGTTAAACCTGATTCTGATATAGACAAGACAGGAATAAAAATCAAATCTTGAACAGAAGTAGCTGGAAATTACAGGGAGGAGTGAAGCTTTGCTCCAACCTTCCCACTGTTTCGAAGATGGGTTTGTTTGTTTTTTAAAACAGCCAGCATAATTCAGCTGGAGGAGGTAGAGAGATTTTTCTGCTCCTTGTTTCAGTAGAAATCGATGGGCTTTAGCAGGTGCAGCTGTCCCCCCTGCGTTTAGTACCTCAAATAAAATCACCCTCCTTGTTTGCACTACTGATACTTCCTTGGTCTTCGTGTCCGCGGCTAAACAAGTATTAATTAGAAAATCCGCCGAAGGCCGGCGGAGGGGGGAGGAGACGGAGGGACGGCAGAGGCCCAGACTTGGCTGCCCTGATTTGTGCATCGTGACTGCGAGTTGCTCGGTGGACGGAAGGAGTCCTGGGGGAGCTGAAGGAGCAGCTCCGGGCAGCTTCTCATCTGCATTACGGACGAGCCTGGGGAGGAGAAGCCCAAGTTCAAAGCCAGCGGCGGACACCACCTCCCGGGCGGTTACGACGCGCGCCTGGGGGAGCCGAGGCCCCCTCCCCCTCCCCCTCCCCCCAAGATCTCTAGGGAGAGGTCTCGAAAGCTCTCGCGCTCTCCCTGCCCACCCCCAACCCACCCCCCACCAGCCGCTAGGGGCCGAAGTGGGGAGAGGGGAGAAGAAATGAGCAGGATCCGGGGTGGGGGCGGGGGTTCAGCGCACTAGAAATGCCCAGAGACGCCGCCGGACTCCGGTGGGTGTAAGTGCGGCAGGGATGAACTTAGCGAGGGCAGGCGCTGACTCCCGAAGATGCTCGCGGCTCTCTGACGATTCTCTCCTCCTCTCTGACCCTCAGGTCACCCCCCACCGCTGCGGGGCTCCCTCGCGCGCGGGGCCACAGGGCCAGTTCAGGCCCTCGCTGCCCCTTTAAGGGTTCCCGAAACTTTCCCCCTGGTATCAGATGAGCCTCGTCACATCCGTTGGCCGTAGCAGCGGGGCGCGTTCCGAGGAAATTCAGGACTCGAGTTTCCCGGGAAGAGGCGCGGCCCGACACGAGCGAGAGCGGGTAGGGCGCGCCGGGTGCGTTCCGGCGGACCCAGCGCTCGGCTGTGACCTTGGCCGCGGGGGAGGGGCCCGGCCCCTGCGGGGCAGCCGCCGCCCGCCAGAGGGGGCAGCGGCGACCAACTTGCTCAAGTTGGCGGCGCGGGCTGGGGCGGCTCCGGCTCCGGCGCCTCCTCCCGCTTCCCAGGTCCTCCTCCCGCGGCGCTCCTCCCAGCGGCCGCCGCCCGCCCGGTGCGCGCCCAGCCCTGCCCGCAGCCCCGCGCCGAGCCGCCGCGCCGCCGCCACCGCCGCCACCAGCGCCGGACGGGACGGGTCGGGCCGGGCGCGCCCCCCGGGCCCCGCCGCGGGCATGGGCGCGCAGGCCCGGGCGCTGCTGCTGCCGCTGCTGGCCCAGTGGCTCCTGCGCGCAGCCCCGGCGCCGGCCCCCGCACCCCTCACGCTGCCCCTCCGCGTGGCCGCGCCCACCCCCGGGTCCGGGACCCCCGCCGCGCCCCGCGCTGCGCCCCAAGCCGACGGCCTGGCGCTCGCCCTGGAGCCCGCCGGCGGCGCAGCCAACTTCTTGGCCATGGTGGACAACCTGCAGGGGGACTCCGGCCGTGGCTACTACCTGGAGATGCTGATCGGAACCCCCCCGCAGAAGGTAGGTTGGCTGGCTCTCGCTCGCCCAGCGGACCCGCGCCCCACCACCCCTGCGGTCCCCCAGGCTGCAGCCGCGGGTTTTCCGGGGTTCGGGGGGGAGCGCCTAGCGGAGCGTGCGCGCGGTTTAGCGTCGCCCCCGACCACATTTCGGTAGAGCAGAGTGGGGGCACGCCGGGGGGGCCCCTGCGCGCCAGGAGCGGGGCGCGCGCCCTGGGGACGTCCTGCCCCGGGCTCAGCCAAGGGTGTGCGCGAGTGTTTCAGAACTTGTTAGTCTTCCCCTCCGAGCGGCGGGGCGGCGAGCGCCTCCAACGGGCAGCCCTTCTGGCGAGCGGGGAGCCGGCACCGTGGGCCTCGGGCGCGATGCTGTGGCTCCTGGGGGCTCACCTTGGATGCCCGATCTCCTCCCCGCCCTCCCACCCCCTTGCTGTCTCATTGCTACGGGGGCTGGTGGCCGGCTCCGGAGGCGCAGTGCCTGGAGTGGGATCTGTGCGCGAGCCCCACCGAGCAGCCCAGTACGCGGAGGCTCGCTGGCTGCGGGCGGAGGGGGCCGCGTGGCCGCCGCGCGGCTCTGCTCTCCCAGAGTTGGCTCGTCGGCTTCCTCCCGCCCGCCCAGCCGCCCAGCCTCTCTGCACCGAGCCAGCGTCTGCACACGTGTGTGTGCAATGTACTAAATGCGGTCCAGCTCCTGCGGAAAAATCCAGGCTGAGTAAGGCTTCCGGGGACCGAGTGGCCTCCCGATGACCAAATAAAAATAAAACCCAGCAGCCTTCTTTTTATTTTAATCTGATTTTATTTATTAGCACTTCTTGTAGCAAGAAACGAATGCCCCCCTCACCCCCCACCCCCGGCTCAGTAATCTTTAGAGAAACAATTACCGAAGTCGATTTGGCCCCCCGTCTTTGCACGTTTACCTGATCTAAATGTGATTTGAAGTCAGGTTTTTCTTATCAATTGAGTACAGTCCCAAGATACTTTGTTTTTATTTTTAACATTGTCATTTGAGTTTCAATTCAGCTATGATTCCCCCATAAATAGAACATACTCATGACTTTGGTGTAATTCTAATTAAATTATTCAAGACTTGCTTAAGAGGAAAGACGCGCCATGCTAATTCTTTTTAAAAAAAGAAACTCTACTGAGTAACTTCTATACTTGCTTAATTAGTCTTTTTAAAAAAAAACACCTCCAGAAATGTGTTCTGCTCAAAACTTGAACTCTGGTTGCCTTTCCTCTAAGCCTTGCCTTCGGTCTTCCGGGGTGGATGGTGGGCAGGGAGGGGGAGGGTGTCAGCTGAGGGAGCTTAACTTGACCGCAGGGGTGTGGTTGCTGGTCAGAGCCGCCACGTGAAGACACGCGCTCCTGGTGAGAACCTTGTACTTTCTGCCTTCCCAAGATTTCCAAGTATTTTGTGGATGACCCTCTTTTTTGTGGCCCAAGGATGATCTTTTGGAACAGGAAATGACTCTCCGTTTATGAAATATGTGCTTTGTGGGGAAGTGTTCTTGTTAATTTTTGAGTGGAAGGGAAGTCTTTGTACTAAAGTAAAGATTTGGGCACTTTGGGTACTGTGATAAAAGGGGTTCTTGATATCTCCCTCCAGAGAAGACGGGAAGGGGAGGAAAAAAGCCTCAAGAGAAGGGGGCGGGGAATGGGAAGATTTCTCTTGGGCTCTCAAAAAAAAAAAAAAAAAGCCTTTCATAAATAATACCTTTTCTTTATTAATTAATCCAGTGACCTTTATTTTATTATTTTTTTTAAAGTAAGCTCTAGGCCCACCGTGGGGCTTGAACTCACCTCCCAGAGATTGAGAGTCACGTGGTCTATGGGCTGAGCCAGCCAGGCATCCCAGTGACCTTTACTTTAAAATGATGAAGTTTAATTAACAGGATCGTATTGCATGCCTAGTGCTTGTATCTTTACCTTGGCCAAGGAGGTAGTTCATTCAAGGTTATTTCTCAGTTAAAGATGAGCATGTTTCCAGGGAAGGCTGTTTTTAACAATCCAGATTTAATTTTTACATTTGACGGGGAATGAAATATTCTGTTCCTCCTTCTTGGCCTGATTTAGTAATAAGTTGTTTTATAGCAAAATCCGTGAGTACGATCTCCCCAAAGGCCTACTATAAACTCTTGGGTACTAGTGACAAGCACATTTCTTCCCTCTCTCCTCCTCAAATGTCTCTGGCCACCAGCAAGGTGTTCGCCGCAGGCCCTGGGGTGACTTCTGAACTCGGAGTGAGGTTTCCTGCTCTATTAACGGCCAAGAGTTAAGCATTTATTCTTTGCTGATTCTCCTAAGCCTAAAATAAAACTTGCTTAGGTGGAGAGAAAAATGCAATTGTAAATTCAGGCATTAAATAACCAAGAATTTTTGGAGAGGTAATAGTCCCCAGCCGTGTGGAGGGCTCCCCTCGTGCCGAGCACCATGCCGTGTGGGTGTTGTCCTGGGGGCATCCTCGCAACCACCCCACGGTACCCATTTAGGGGTTGGGAAAACAAGCTTGGAGAGGTTGAATGACTGGCCCAGGGAGCAGGAGTGCCAGCAGTGGATTGCGAGTAGTCCACGTGGCTGGACTCCAGAAGCTAGGTGGCTAGACTCCACTGGGCACATACCTGCTGCTCCCTTTCTTCCCTGCTTCCATTTCTTTTCCCCTTTTTTCTTTTTAAGATTATTTATTTGACAGAGAGCACAAGCAGGGGAGCGAGAGGGAGAGGGAGAAGCAGACTCCCCGCTGAGCAGGGAGCCCCATGTGGGGCTCGACCCCAGGACCCTGGGATCATGACCTGAGCAGAAGGCAGATGCTCGATCGACAGAGTCACCCCAGCACCCCTATTTTTCCCTTTTTAAACAAAATTTGGCCTTTACCCTATCCAGGGAGAGATCCCTGGACCTTTAAGCCCAAGGTGTTAGGGACTTAATGGGTGACCAATGATGGACTCCAGCTCCGTGCTGCCCTGCAGCCCTTCCCTCCCTGCAGGGCAACCTGCTGCATCGTTGGCTACAGGGACACATGGGAGAGGGAGAGGTCAACGGGACCAGTGCTGCCCAGATCCCTGCTCTCCTGTGGGAAAGCCCACTGTTGGACATGTGCTCGTTCCCTGAATGCTTACACGAAGAACTAGGGGGGTCAGTCGTTCTGCCTGCCACCGCTGAAGACATCACAGGCCTGTGCCCCGAAGCCCGTGTGAGAGCCGGGCCACGTTGGCATGGAGATGAGTGCCAGGTGTTCGATACCATCACGTGACTCCTTGTGAACAGTAGAGAACCAGCAGTCGCTTGAACCATGCAATTTGGCCTTATTAATAATAATAATGGTGTTCTAAAGTGATTATAATTATAGCAATTTCCATTATTTTAAAAAAGGCTTTCACCCTGACGCAATCAATCTGCCTGGAAATGCTAAGGGTCTGCAGCTCTATACCTTGTAATGGCCTCAAAAAGCCCTTAGGGATTTCTGTTGAAAGATTTTCTGTCGTCTCCGCTAATACGGAGGAAACAGACGGCAACACGATTTTCGTGTTTAAACATTCTACTGTAAGGAGCTAAGAAATTATTTTGGGGACTCACATTTTAATCATGGCGCATTGGCTTACCACTTCTTAGTACACAATTGTTTGGAAGACTTTGGATTGAAGATATGTGCCAAGTATATGCAATTTAGGAGTTTGTCTTTTTTAGAATAAGCAATCCAGTGTCCCTAAATTACATGAAACTCACTGCAGGCGAGGCTGGAAAAAGGAAGGCGATGGGCACCGAGAATAAATTTGATGGAACACAGCGAGATGGTAAATACTAAGGACAATGGGAAGGGGAGAGATGGCGGGGGTTTGAAGAACAGGAAAGGCAGAGCAAGGTTCCCCCCAGCTCCTGTGAGTGGCACGTGGTAGGTGGCAACTCTGAGCTTCGTGGAAGAATTCAAGATACAGTTCCTCCTTCAGAAGGTGGAAAGGCCAGGCTGAGGCACCTGCTGAAAGCACCTTAGAGGGACAGTCTGAGAAGTCACTAACAACCGTTAATATTAACAGCTAACGTTTATCCCAGGCTCACTGGATGGTGGGTACCATTGCACAGATCACCTCATTTATTCCCCACACAGCCCTAGGAAGGACGTGGAAGTTGCTCGACTTAATTATCAGACTGAGAGAGCAGAGCACAGAGAGGCCCAGTAATCTGTCCAAGGTCCCCCTGGTGAGTAGGAGAGCCGGGGTGTCCGTCAGGGAGGTCTGCCAATTCCATCCTGCAGTCCCAGCCCTTTGCTCCTGCTCCCCTTGTGCACTTGGACTTTAAAAAATATATATATATATATATACCCATTTTCATTCACCTGTGGAGGACTTGGGTGTGGCTGGAAGCATCCCGGATGCTGGTGGCTTTACACTGGTGATGGCAGTGGACAGGTGATCGGACTGTGCTGCCTTTCCCTTATTGGTTGGAGATCTTTTGAGCTTTTAGCCTCCTGCAGCTGCTGTCACAGATCCCACCGAGCAGGTGACTTAAGACAACAGAAGTATATTCTCTTGCAGTCCTGGAGGTCAGTCACCGCGAGGGAGATGCCGCCAGGGCCCTGTCCCTCCCCTGACTCTCGCAGCTTTGGCGGCTGCCCGTAGTCCTCCTCCCTGTTCCATGGCTCCAGGCTGCATCTCCCCAGTCTCTGTGTCTGTCTTCAGATGAAATTCCCACCCCACCTACCCCGGTGTGTAAGTCTCTAGGTCCAAACTGTCTTCTTAAAATGACACCTGTCATTGCATTAGGGTTCACCCTGGTCCGTTCAGACCTTATCTCAGCTTCATTACAACTGTAGAGACAGAGATTACGATTTCAACCAATTTTTTTTTTATAATGCATTTTAGGGGCACCTGGGTGGCTCAGTTGGTTAAGCATCTGACTCTTGGTTTCTGCTTAGATCTTGATCTCAGGGTCATGAGATCAAGCCCCATGTCAGCCTCCGTGCTCAACACGGAGCCAGCTTTTCCCTCTCCCTTTGCCCTTCCTCGCCGCTCC